GTTGTGATATGAGGCTCAACCAACTATCGCGACATTTATGAAAGTCTCATGGAATCATTCCGCATACTTGGAAATTGTAGGGAAGCTTCTAGTATGTCACTTCGATGTATATATACTTCTACTTCCTTAGGAAGTAGAAGTAGAATAAGGATCAATCTACGCTTCCACTGCCATAATCCACAACACCATCCAGTCATATCATCCAGACACTAGCAAGTCAAATGCAGCACCAATGTCTCCTTCAGAAACTCATCAACAGCCATCCACTCTTACGAGGCTGCTCAGTCTTCGTTTTACCGTACAGCCATCAAGTTACGGCCTACTAGCCTTTCTTTGTTGTCAATATTTTACCTTAGGGCTAGTTACTGACACATCCTACGTTCTCATGATCATCACCACTGAGTAACAATGATTTTGTCCCAAGTTCATGAGCCCCTCCACTCAGCATGGGAAGCTATGGAGAGCATCTCTACAAGCATTTTTTGACCCTACATACCGACCCTGTGTATTACGAGACGAGGCAAAGGACTGATGCTGTTACCTTCCAGCCATTCACTTTAAAATCTGCAACCTGGGAAGGACAAAAAAATCCTCGAGCGTGGCAACGGATTTTGCCATATTCAGTACCGTCATTGGTAAGTAGGGACGTCGAGAAGTTCACATAGCGCCACGCGAAGGCCTCACCGGTCGGAAGGCCATGACTCCCGTTCCTGCCTCAATCACTGCCCGCAAAAAATGATCGAATTTAGGGTCAACTGAGTCAGGTAGTCCTATACAATCGGTATCAGAGTCGAGAAAGACCGAATACTTGACTCCGATCCTTATCTTCGCAACGATCCACCGTGTAAAGTCATGTCCCACTTGTGCCCTCCACAGGCAGTCATGTCCGCCAGCTGCAGACCCCTAAACTACACAGCTATGCCAATCCCAAGCCTCAATTGAATTCTTCGTGAGATTCAAGACGACAGGATTGCTGCCTCCTTGCCTGCTAGTAGCCCGCATCCTCGACCTATAGTTCTACGTATGCAGAACCTTCAGAGGGACTATCTGGGGGCGTTGTTGGTGAAAACTTCTTGTATGCCTGCGTAACCTGGTCCCAGGTATAGTTGATAGGTTGACCGTCGTGGGGCGTGATACTGATCACAATCTCATCGGCAGAATAGTGTGAGAATGCCCTGGCTCCAGCAAGTTGAGATAGAATTACCCTCCAAAAGGTACGTGCCGTCGCGCCGATTGTGGAAACTTCTGCCGTTTGCGATTTCATGATCTGGTTTGCTTTCCACTGGGAAGTGAACTGCTTTGCGACCATTTGTGCTTCGTTCATAACATTATCGATGTAAGGTGTTGGAAGCATACTGAAACGTCGGATATCGACCAAAATATTAATGGCGTCATGAATGGGAATCGCTGCGGACGGAGGTGGAGTAGGCCGAAATGCTCCCAGTCGTGAGATACTATCGTAGAGAGTGTCTTTGAAGGTCACCGTAGGGGGACACCATAGTAGCCTACTCCACTGAACTCGGAAGAAACGTGATTCCATGATGAAGGCCAAAATAAACAAAAAGCCAGCGAAGAGCTAGAGAAACTCAATGGTAACTAGTCAGTAATGTGAATTTGAGAGAAAAGATCACGCCTGAATATCTATACCTTAATGATAAACTCGTAACTTTTGAGAGTAAGAGAAGGCTGGACGAATCATGTCTTTAATACTGGAAGACATAGTAGCGCGGAGCCCTTTGGGCCATTCGATGTGAGTGACACAAGGCGTTCGAAACTTAGTGCCTACGCGACACCAACGTCTTGGTCGTACCTCGCCAAGCTGGATCAGCGAGAACCAATTAATACGTAGGCCAAACCATCAGATGGTCAGACCGTGTTCAAGGTGTTAATGTTGGCCCACGCCTTCCACACAGGGCAAAAGGATCCGAGACTTGATGAGTCTTACTCTCGGGTTGAGCTGATCTTCACCAGCACATGGTTTCACGAGTGTAGTATGTGACAAGAAATGTTTGTCGAGAGGGGATAGTATTTGCTTAATGTGGGTGTAGCGAGGACCAATAACAGTCAGCCCTTGCGAATATGCTGCGATGCTGTACGGGAGCAAACACTGACAGGGCCCCAGAATGAATCATTACAGTATTAAGAACTTTTGCAAGCTCTGCCGCACTAGCCCGGATGCCTCACCAATTGACAGGCTAGTCAAAGTTGATGCCTGCGCGATGGCCGCCACGGCGGCCACTCTTAAAAGTTTGGGCGTCCTGTCAGTGACCTGGTAATCGGGTTAGACCAGAAGCTTGAAAGGCTGCCCGTCAAGCCACAAAGAGGACGCCCGAGCAAGAGCTTCACATGTTACATGGATCGAGAAGGCGGAAAAGCAAGTAGGGCCATGTGAACAGCTCAGATCACATTAGCCTACGAGTTGTTCGCTTTTCCTGGTATCATCAAGAATGTGAATATTAGAAACGCGTCACACTCTAGCCGACATTGCAAGTGGTCAGATCCTTCGAGTCTGCCTTGCAGCTTTCGTGTTCAGACATACTGTCCCAGTGCTACATGTCTTGAACTCCGTTGTTCTTGGATTCACGTCCGTATGTATTGGCGTGTCTGTACAATGTATCTAATGAAAACCACTGTAGGTGCGAGGCGCTAACAACAAAATCAATCGAGCGCATTGAAGAAAGGCACAAGTCGTCGTCTTTCTCATCGTAGGCATAAAACTGAACCATATATTCTCATCACCAAAGATTCAGAACAGAACTACTAGCAGTCAGGGCGGTTTCTCAGCCTGTCCACAATCCCATCTAGAAGCACAGCAACAGCAGCAGGAGTGAAAGGAAATCGCACGCGGCCACTTTCTCGCAACCAAAACGGAGGACTCTAATGCAATTATCCCAATTGTCAAGACGCATTCAGGGGAGCCTATGATTTGAATAGCCATATGGATCGGCAGGAGAGGCTGTACAAGTGCAACGTCGTGTAGCTAATGCCAACAGCTTAATGTTTCCTAACACTTTGTTAATTTAGACATTGATAAATGCACCCTAGGAAATTCTAGGCCTCCCAATTCATGTATACATATATAAAAGGTCGCCAACGTGATTTCAATCAGACATTGTTGCCTGGCCCTTCTCCTCTTGTGGCTGACACAGCGTCTTTTACGACTACACGGGTGAACTTGAAGGACATACATGTCACGGATGGTAACCTAATCCGATGGAAAAAGCTCTACATCTCTAAGGAAATGAGATACTTATGAGCATCATACTTAACATGACCTCAGTAGCTAACTCTCGTACGAAGGGGGCCCTATTGCAAAGGATACGCGATCGAAGCGACAATACCACGAACTCGAACCGGTGAGGTATTTAATGAATGAGCGTGGGGGAAAAACTGTCGACACCGGTGGCCTGATACGACCCAACGATCTCCTTTCGAAGCTTCCTTGCACCTCTGTCAGTGTCGCACCTTGTGGAATGATTGGATATCAAGGATTGATAGCTACCACCCTCTAGGCTAGCAGAAGGCACAACTTGACACAATCGCCTAGCCACCAAGTGTGCATGTAAGGACTGGCTCCGAGTTTTCGCTTGTATATCTATTAATCCTCATCGCACCCACGTTGAGACAATATCATCCCCTCTTTTGACGAATTGTAATGCTTAAGTGGAACAAGCAACAAAATTATCGTCTGTAGGTTGGCTACAGCGACCATCTTGTCGTTAGTCAATTAGGTGTCACTACTGCCTAGTCCAATACACAATTATCCTGTTTCATCATTCGAGAGACCCAAAATCATTGATAGGCAGGAACAAGCATAAACATAAGTAGAGAGTTGCCTAGCTGGCACCGCCCCGGCTATGGCCATATGCCCAGACTCGAAACCATTGATATGCTTTAAACGGTGGCGAGACGGCGAGCTTGTATTTGATGGTAAGTAGCCGACTCGAAAAGTCTATAGTCTCTCGTCTTCACACCAGCCCTACTGGCGAGCTGGTTATATCATATATTGTCTCGGCCAACAGAAAGGTAGTTTACACCACTTAATTATCGAACCTAAGAAACTGTCTCAACTTACCAAACTAATTCGTGCTGTTAGTGAAACGAATTCCTTTGTTCTCTCCTTATTCATATAGGAATAATGCCTATCGAAACTCACACACACACTGAGCGCAGTGGACGCACAGGGTCTACGTCGATAAAGCGAGACGTAACTGTACACCAGGAAGGAGGCAATGCTGAGATATTGAAGAAGGATGACGTGGAAAGAATATCATATTCAAAGAAGAGAGAGCAAAGGGCCAAAGATCGTCCATCCTACTAGTAAATATGACGGTATGAAAGCCTCGTTCCGGGGCTCCAATTAGTACTAACGAATATAGATGAGAAAAGCGCTGCCAGTCGAGAATGCAAACTTGACCTAGTGTAGTCTTCAAAAGAAATGCCAATCTCTCGAGTTTGGCGTGACAAGGGCCAATAGCAACAGGATCGATGTCTGAGAGCTAGTACCTACATCTTCTAAGAAGTGGTATCAAGTGTCTGCTGCGATAAATGAGATGGGCGTAGAGATTTCGTCGTCAGGGGCAACAGAGGTGCAACTCTTCTCTTCAGGTCTTGTATCATAAACCTAGTAAGAGCCCAGCCTGCCAAACTATCAAATCGTCCAGTCAAAGGCGTCGTATTTCGCCGCTTGTCGCCGGAAGAGCTTTGTTTAGCACCTTCTGGGAAAGTCAATAGTCTGGCATGCTAACATCATTAATTTGCTTGTCAACATCTAATTACCTGTTAAACTTATCATTAACTCACTTGTTTTCATAAGATCTCTCGAGAACTGTCTATCAATGGTTTATTGGTTGATTGATTGATTGATTTACATATAGCTGGTTCTACATGATGAATTTTCATACGCCCAGGCGGGGCTAAGCCCAATGGGGACTAGCTAGTTCTACATGGCTACACGCGAACGTCCCGGTTCATGGTACTTCCTGCTGTTGGTCCTTCGGCGGCATACGACCCTCGCGGCTGCTGTGATCCCTTTACGAGCTACACACTTCGCCCTCAAGCCAGTTCTTCTTGAGTGTTGCTGTTCTTTCATCGGCACAGGAACTGTCGGGTGTCGGCTCGTTCAATTCTCAAATCGGGATTACCTCCTTTGTTCAGGGTCGAGCTTCAATCGACCGGTGGCTTTCGCAAAGCGGATCGTCGCTCTGACCGCTTCCATGTTCGGCTTCCATTTCTTGAGCGGTCCGTCCACTCTTTCATTGGTCCACCCTCCCAGAAGGAATGACACGTCCGTCCACCGCTCCGTAGTTGCATGAAGATATTGTTGGCGCTGCAAGGTCCAACGCGTGCACTACGTCAGAAAGTGTCTGACCGTCTCGGGCCGGCGACACCATTCACACTGGTCCGAGTCCACCGCTTTGATCCTGTAAAGGGCACTGTTAAGTCGGCTCTTCCCCGTTCGGAGTTGAGCCAAGATTTGCGCCTCGTCGCGTTTGAGGTCATCATAGAGCTTGCGCGTGTGCTGGCCAGGGAGAGCACGATCGAGCTGTTTCGTGTACCGGCCACCGGGGCGCGCCTCGAACTGTTTCCTCTGTTCGTCATGGGTTTCTTTCGGCTTCCTTCTAGCGGTCGATTTCAACTTTGTCCCTACCGGAATCTGACGATTTGGGTGTGCTGCTCTCCGAGCCAAGTCATGCGCCAGTTCACTGCCACGGGTCGCGGATTCGCTTGGGATCCACTGGAAGACCACCCGTGGCTTCCACGACGCGGCAAGACGACCGAGCAACTCGTATATTCTTCGGACGATCCATTGTCCTGACTGTTGTCCTGGTTTCGCAACTACATCCAGCGCCGAGTGGCTCCTGCTGAGGATCCGCACGGGTGTTCTTGGGTCGGTGTCCTGATCGGGCCAGCGTTGATCCACCACGCGGCAGGCCTCGTACAGGGCCACCAATTCGCCATGGTGGGCGTTGATCGACGTGGTGGATCCGAGGGTCTTGCTGACCATGCGATGTGCCCGAGGGCCCAAGTATACCACGCCGATTCCCACTCTGCCGTTTCGACCGGACGCTCCCGTAAAGACGGTCCTCTCCAGGTCCGGGTTTTTGGCTGTGACGTCGGCTTTCTCTCGTCCTAGGATTTTTACGCTGGCTCGGGTTTTCCCTGGCGACATACAGAATGGCTCAATGCGCTCCAGCCGCTCCTTGCCTCGGCGTGCCATCACCTTCCCGCTTGTCCGCATGGGGAACACGAAACGCCGCTGTTCTCGCTCGTTCGCTCTCTTCACCCGCCAAAGCGGGTGTGTAGCGGGTAAGGTGTGCAGGTCAATCCAAAACCGATGGACTTGCTTCCGCCAGCGATCACTGACCGGCTCCAGTGCCGCCTCAGCCTCGGCCACGGCCAAGGATACCGTCTTAAATCCCGCGGTGATCGCCATGGCACCAAGGCGCTGTGCTTGTTCCGCACCTGTGATTAATTTGTGCGACGCGTAGATCGACCACACCACCGACGCGTAGTCGACCACGGGCGTCACCATCGAGGTCTAGAGCTGTCGCGCCATGCTCGGTTGCATACCTCGCAGTCTCCGCAACGCCTGCGCCGCACGGAGACCCCTCTTCGCTATCCGT